ACGAGAGTTAACTCAGTGGGGAATTAGAAAAGAGGCGCACTTTCTGCTTAAGTTGACACTCTATTTGGAAAGATCAAATACGCTATTTGAATAGACATAATCAAGATATACAAACTCAAAGATATCAACAAATACAAATGTGCATGCATGATGCAAGTATGAACGAATGAATGAATGTCATGTATATGTTGACAAAACAGACAGGGGAGATAGACAGAAGATGATAAGACGTCCCAGTACAACCCGACGCTCGGCTAATCTCAACAGGATGGTAACATTACTAGAGATAGAAAACAAAAGTCATCATTGGAGCAAAGTCCTTTTACAAGGCTTAAATATCGCTGGAGAGGAAGATATTTTCAAGTAGAAAACTCAAAGTCCAGTCTTCTATTGCAAACAATCCATAGAAAGGATAACAACACAAACAAAGTTTCAGCTGGAAAGAAGTCTTGCTTAGCTGGAGATACTGGGGACACCACCCTCTGATAATGTATGAAAAACATATCTTGACAAATCTGGATTGCCCCTGGGATTAATTTTGGATGCCCCAAATTTACTGCTGATAAGCTGCATGTTGCACGACAATTCTTGCGAATAACTTCACTTCTAAAATGCCCCAAGCTGTCTGGTTGATGAGGAGAAATCATCTCAAGAGGATTTTACAAAAGACCTGGCATTCACCATGCTCTGGTGTCTTCAAACTCTTAGAGGAATTCATCAAATCTCGACGTGATTGCCCCGGATTGACTGTAGTTGGCACAACAAAGTCTTCAAATTTTGCCCCAAAAGAGTAAACAAGTTGGGAAAGCATTAATTGGGAGGAGCAACATGTTCGTGCTTATGGTCTTCAGGTGACATGCCCATGGATATGATTTTTTCTTGACGTGATCTGCCAATTACTCAACGTAGTTTCAGGCCTTAAAAGAATAAACTCATCACTGGTGCTTATGTGAGCTTCCTTGATATCAAACAAATGTTTTGCAGTTAGAAAAAGTTTACAATGAGAATGAAAATTCTAATGCAACAGTTATGTAAGTCTTGAAGATTTTGAAAAGATATCGCACAAATTTTGCGAGTTAAAGCACCATTTAGTTTTGTATGGGAAAAACATATGATACCAACATAACTATTTAGAACATTCATGGGAGTCAGGAACACTATCTCATTGAAGTATGCTTTCAAAATAACCTTGCTTCAATTAGGACTTTTGAAGGTTGTAACGTGGTCTGGTTCATGGTTTTTTAGAAAAAAGATTTTAAGGCTCAAAATATTTGGTGCCCACCCATTCTTCATGATGTTCTCCAACCCTATGTTCAGTTAATTCAACATGAGTGTTCATCTCTCAAAAGGATTTTGTGACGGTCAAGGAAACGACGAGGCTTTCGGAGTAGAAACCACCCTCATGTCTTCGTGTTTGTAGTCACCAATTTGTTCTTTGCTGAGGACTTTTCTTTGCAGTCCTTTTCTTTGCAATTTTATTTTCCCTAACTTTTGCCTGAACTAATTCTTTTGAATTGATAGTCCAGCGGGATGCCTTAATTTTGCCTAAGTCACACGTTTTCATTTTTTTTGACTTAGCAGGCTTTTCTTTTTCTTGATTTTTGACTTTTTGAACAAAATGTGTGACATTAGCTTGTCTTTGTTTGTTGAGAGGATTGTGATTGCCTCGTTTCTTGATGAATGAGGGATAACATTATGATTCCACATCTTCTGGCTTCATTATACATGAAAGATAGCCCTCGTAGTTTCTCTTCAAAAAACATCTTCCTTATGAATTTTGAACACTCAGTCAGATTAACTAAAAACTACCCTGCCCCAGGTTAAAATTCAAGGTTTTTTCGTATAGAAAAGAAACTTCTACTTCAAGGCTCAAAAGGGGTTAGCAAGGGATTATCTTCCTTATATCTCCAGTGTTTAGGGATTTGAAACAATGCCTGTACATCATCAGCAAGATTTTATCCAAAAGCAAACAACCAGAGATTTTGTGTTCTTTAGATCATCATCCTCCCTTCAATCTCTGCCTAGGCAAGAGAATGAGCAACAATTTGGTATCATAATGCAAAAAGAAATTTAAAATTTGAAAACAAATATGAGTGAAACGAATGAATTTCTTCAAGACAAACATATTCATTGTATTAAGATAATCATACAGATGCAAACAAGTTCTTACATGCAAACAATGTTTTGATAAACAAGAAAAATTGCAACAAGCAGAAATAAGTTAATGATCGGGGAAGGCTTTCCATCTGGACTTGAATCACTGAAAACATCTTTCAAAACTCAAAGTGACCATCAATCGTGTTTACTCTTCGGCACGTGCTTGATTTGAACTTCAAAACCAACGTCCTTGAATGACAAGATACCACTTCTGACCAACTTCTGAACCTCAATCTTCAAAGCAAAGCAACCCTCCAAGTCATGCCCAGGAGCACCTTGATGAAAATTACAAGCCAAATCAGCTTTGTAGTACCAATGTATCTTCTCAGGAACCTTCGGTGGAGGTCGGGTCTGAACCAAATTCCTCTGCATCAGGATAGGGAACAACTCTGTATAGGTAATTGGAATTGGATCAAACTGGGTTTTCCTCTGATTAGGACCTTGCTGATTTTGTTGATGAATAGGAAGAACATGATGATTTTGACGATGAATATTTCTTCCTATGGTTCTCTTCTTGGAAAAGTTATTATCAAACTTCTTCACACCATTAGCTAAGCTACCATCTTCATATGAACATCCCTTCCCAACATCTTCTTCTAGACGCACTCCCATATTCACCTTGTCAGGAAAGTCATTAGGTGCATTAACCAACACCTTCTCATGAGAGAATGATTTTAGAGTTTCAGTGAAGACTTTTATCATCGCTTCCTCCCTCCTAAAAGGATTGACTTGGGCGGCAACCAAAATTTCGACCAAACCAGTTAAGTGCTCCACACTAGCTTTCAAATTAGTCATCTCTCTACGAAGTTCAGAAACCTCTTGCTTGATATTCTCCATTGTTCTCTTAGCGCGAGTGTTGTACTGGTGAGACCAAAGGAAAATAAGACTCGGAAAAAGACCTTTGAAAGTGAAACAAAAAATGTAGACTGATGTATGATATGCAAAAGAGAGTTTTTACTTGATTTTCAAGGAACTCAAGATATTAAGTTGTAGACATCAAAGTGTGAAGATGGAAGATGAATTTTGAATTGGATCAAAGTGTTGATCAAGTTATCGTCAAGATCAATCATCCATTTTGGTGGATTAGGGTTTTCACCCTATCAACACCCAAGATCCATTGAGCTTGACGAAACTTGTGATGTTTACAAAGAAAGACCTCCCAATTCCTTCAAAGTCAAGTGAAAAGGGTTTTATGGATGCATGAATGCATGGATATGTAACAACCACAAGCAAGGTCACAAATAAAGTCGAAAGGTTCAACGTCACGAGCATGGAGTCAAGGTAAGGAACACCCCCAAGGTATGTACTAACGGTTTAATCACACATGTAGAACAAGGTTCTAAGAGTTCTCGGAGTCTACATTCCTCCTTCGGATATTACCAACGTCTTGATTACTCAATAATCAGCAATATTCTCAAGAGAAACTCATCTGAGCGTAGCATCGCGTAACAATTACTTCCAGATTACTCCGTTATAATCTCCGCGCTACACCTAAAAGGCCAAGATGGGTTAGGGTTCTACGGTTCCCAGCTTCTCTGGCTCCCAGGTCGAAAATAATAATGTCTTCCCGATTACTCGGTAAACAAATATTACGTTCAAAAGGGCCTTCCACTGAGTGGGGGATCTCATGCCTCCTTCTTCAGGATTACTCCCTCAAAGTTAACATGACTATACCGCCCGTCCTATTCCTAAGTGTAACTTAGTCCGGGTATAGGACTTGTCCTTTGTAAATATTATCAACACCCAAATAATCATAATATATACATATAATCAAACAATCAAATAATGATAAAATAGATAAAACAAATTAGGCTTAACCCACTTAGGGATGGACCAGCAAGAGGTCAATCTTTCCCCAGCAGAGTCGCCAATTCTGTAGCGGTGAAAATCGGAGATCAAGCTATTAATTAACTTGACTCGCAAAAGCAAGAGTCGCCACCGCGCTTTATTATTTCCAAGGGAAAAGGGAAAAGAGCGAAATAAAACCCTAAAGTATGCAATGTAAATTAATATTTAAGAGTAATGAAAATACAGTGCGTTTTTAAAAGAGATCGAGAGTTCGAGGGTTGGTTATACAATGAGAAGGTATTAGCACCCAATGCATCTGCGGTACTCCGCAGGAACCTTTTGAAATATCTGTTTTTGGTTAAAATGGTTTGTTTGATTAAAATGATTCGTTTGGCTAAAAGATGGGTATGAACGAGATTTTTGAAGAGACAACGACCTAATGTCGAAGTTTTGACTTACAAAGGGGCGAGTTTGAAAATGGGGGTCTTTTGGGAAAATTATCTTGAGTTTAGCAAAATAGTAAAACAAAAATGAAGGAAGGTATTCGCTTAATCGTATAACATGCGTTTGATGACATGAAGTCAACAAAGTTAGAACGTTTCCCTTGGAGTTTAAGCAAGCAAGAAACCGTAAAATGAATATCAAAGCATGAGCACTCAAAGATCTACAAGAAAAAAATCTAAGCAAGAAATTAATGACAAAAGACAACGAGAGTTTAATTAAAGAGACAAAGAAGAATCATGCATGAAATAAAAAATTTAACTAAGAAAATTAAATACAAATGTTAGTCAAACTAAAACAAATATTAAAATAAATTCCAAAGTTACTAACTTATTCTATGGCTAAACTTATTAATTGAAAATTATTAAGTTAAGAAAATTAAAAGAACAAAATTAAATTAATTAATTAAAAATAAAGTTGAGAAGATTAATATTAAACTAAATAAATTAAAACAAATGGGGTAAAGCTAATATAGGGGGGTATATGCAGAATTTCGCTAGGCTGGAAATTAAAGGGAAACAGAGAGATCTAACCAGGACTAGCATTCATCCCATTCAGTAGTAGTGAGAAGAACCGGAATTTGAAGGGCAACTTAAATTCTGTTGAATGAACTCAAGAGCAGAAGAAGGTTTGTCGTTTTGCTCATACAAGGCAACAAGAACTTTGGTTAGAGCATCAACGGCTCCACTTGATTCAAGATATTTTCTGAATGATCCCTTCTTAGCTTCTTTTTTCCTGAAATGAAATGAATTGTTATGATTTGTTAGAGAGAGGAATAAGGGAGGTTGGGTTCATGCATTGATGGTGGTTGAGGCGCTGGAAATCGCGGAACAGGGTTGGGGCTAGCGGTGTTGTGGAATCCCATCGGAGGTTCGGAGCGAAGGGGTAGTCAGCGGTAGCTTAGGTTGGTGTTAAGCGCGGATCTGACTTCGACGGCGGACTGTGCAGTGGCAGTTTTATCACTTAGTACTCAATCAGTCAACATCAATTCCCACCTCAGCGTCGGAGTTAGTCCTTCTTGAAGAGTTTCTCTGTAATATGATTCAATCGCGCAACATCTGCACCTATAAGTTCATCAGTCTTTTTCCCATTTTGAAAGAAGTGAAGTGTTGACACAGATGTAATCTGCAACCTGCTCAATGTGTCTTGAATTGCTTCCTGATCAATTGTCAATCTTATAAGTTGCCACATTAGGATACTTCTTACTGAGCTCCCCAACTATAGGAGAAATGAACCTGCAAGGTCCACACCAAACAGCAGTGAAATAGAAAATCGCGTGCGATGAGTCATCTTGAACTTTGCTACGGATTTTATCGAACTCTTCCGCGGAATCAACAAGGATAAGGCTAGGGGAAGCTGAGGCGGAGGAAAGGGAACGGGAATGGTTGTTCGTGGTTGATGTTTGGTGGCTGATGCACAAAACATCACCACAACTCATGGGCAGACAATGAATGGACACGAAACGCTGTGGTGGTTTTGGACTTGTCGGCGAAAGTATGAAGGGTGTGAGGTAAGGAAAAAAGGGTAGCCGTGGCGGATGAATAGAAAGTTGAAGGAGGAATAGGTGTTTGTTTAAAGCATTCACTTGAAGGAAAAGAATTTGTCTGGATCCCGGATAACTGCACAGCACTTGACCAATTATCAGTTCGCCTACCTTGGTCCAGCATACTCGTTTTCCTTCAGGGCGTGTTTCTGACATCAAGGCATTGTTTGAGATACCGAGACTCGGAGGATGAAAACTAGAGGTAGTTACTCTAGGTCTTTGATCTGTGAATTGACTTGGGATGGGAAAAGTCGGTTTTACATCAGTATTCATGTTTTGAAGAGAAATAGTACCTTTGCTGTTTTGCAAGTGATCGTATCCTATAGACATTAGCATACCCTGAAGAATATTCTGATTAACGAGAGTTATGGCCGACTGGAATTTAAATTGATCACCAGAAGAATTGTTTAAACTTTGTGATTGGCCCAACTGAAGTAATCCGGATGGAGAAAATCCGTGTCCATTCAGACCAGCCGGAGAGTTCAGATTACTAATGATCCCACTAGGCAAAAAAGATCTGAAAGCATTACTGTGAAAATGTCCAGAACCACCCATTCTCAAATAAGATTGATCAGCACTCCCTAAGGCTGCCACCATACTAGCTTGTTGGTTTGCCACACAGCTAATTCTTTTCAGATAAAGTCTATACTTCTGGAGATGGCTAGCCACGTTCTCCCTTGTAATATTTTCGACATTCATCATATCAAGAATTTTTTGGGTACAGCCTTGTCAATGCCTAGGTGATTTACAGCAGCGACAAACTTGCGGTGCAACTCCACAGACCAAACAACTCGGGGCTTCTTCTGAGCTGATGGGTCTTCATTATCGTTACCATTCTCTTTAACCTCATCTTCATCTTCATCCTGATCCTTCCTTTTCTTAGCCAGCCTTCCATTTTCATCTGAATTCTCAGTTCCCGCTGATCTCAGTCCGCTGCAACTATCAGAAGTAGCGTTATCTGGCTTATTGGTTTTGTTTTTCCCCTTTGAATCAGATTTCTTCTTCCTAATCACATGCTGCCAAATATTCTTTAACTCCTCTAATCTCACAGGTTTTAGCAGATAATCACAAGCACCATGAGAAATCCCCTTCATCGCCAGCTTCGTATCACCATACGCAGACAACATTATGACAGGAAGGTCCATCTCAAGCCCCACGAGTTCAAGCAGCTTAAATCCATCCATATCTGGTATATGCACATCACTGATAACCAAGTCAAACTTGTCTTTGTTTTCTCTCAGCATATTCAATGCCATTATAGCTTGACTAGTTGTGGTAACATGGTATTCACATCTTCGGAGGAGAGTTTCCAAGACTTTGAGGCAAGTGGGGTCGTCGTCGACGGCAAGAACACGCATTCCGATGGGAAGGAGATCAGTGGAATCATCCATTACCATGTTTTGCTACTCCGACTGATGAAATGGAACAGAAACGAAGCTTATGTAATAGTGATAGTGAAAGTAAATTGTTTTGTAATGAAGATGAATGGATGAATAATAATTGGAGGGGGAAATTTGGATTGCTGGGTTATAGTGGTTTTGCAAGGGAAGAGAGGAAGAGATATGGAGACAGGGGTAGTAGGTGAAAGAAGAGAGATTATTGTATTGGGAAGAGAAGAAAGGATAAAGAGTTACTGTGTTGATTCTTGTTGTTTTGTTTCATTGGTAGAGAAAGGATTGGAGAGAGTGGTCCTCACCTTCATCTCCCTGTTACGGCAACAAGGCATGCATGCCAACATATAACGTATGGATAGAAAAAAAATGAGACATAAAACTAAGAAAAAGCCAAAAAACCATACCATTTGAGGAACTGAAAAATAATTAAACTATTGGAAAATTGATGTTCTTGACAGAAGTAGGATGGTCTATACCAACAAACGTTTACCACTTCATCAATCCTGCACAACTTCAATCAACCAATCAAGATAAAGCTTAGTTCAAAAATAATTTTTAATGACCAAAAATCTCTTTAATAATGAAAATAACTTAAAAAATTGAAAGAGCAAAAGGTAATGCAACTTAAAATAATTTTTTTGGAATTTTTCTGAATAAAAAATAAAGACCCAAAATGACCAAAAATGATTAAAAAATGGACGAAAATTTATCCGAAAAAATAGAATGAACACATTAAAATAATCTACATGTCACAAAGATTAAAGAAAAAATATTCAAGAAGTCAAAAATAAAATGATAAAATATCAGGCTAATACGGACATTTACGGTTAAAAACGAGATCTCGAACTGTACCGAAAAAATAAAGCAAGCATACCGTCATAATCTACGCGAAGCGCAGATTCATAAAATGATCGGTAAAAAGGTGAAAACTTTAAATATTTTTCTCGCTAATTTTTCGTACATTGTTGAATCGCTTTTAACGGTTTGCCTATAAAACCAAAATATTTTTATTATCGACATATAAACAACTTGGAGCAATGCAAGAAACGAGTAAAGAGATAAAAATGCATGAAGTGAAATGTCAGGTATTTTACAATTGAAAGACGATGCAAACTTTGATTTAAACTGACTTTTCTGGTCAACTTAAATACGACTAATGATGCAAAATATGATGAATGAAGATATTTACTAATGATTGTAACCAAATGACAAAATATGGTATGAATGTGCGACTGAAAAAATTAGGGGCGACATTTAGGGTGCAACAGTTGTGCCTTGATGAATCAGTCTTCAAGAATCCACAATCAACCGTACTTCTGGCTTGGGAGATTCTGAACCCTAATCGAGGCATGACGCCTGATGCTCTTGATTCAGATCTGTTTCCTGCAAATGAAATCAAAGAAACAAAAAACACACACTTCGTGCTTGATTAGAAGTTAGTGATACATAGGCTAAGAATATTCAAAATATTTGACAATTTCTGCATAGTCAAAGCTCGAAGGTGAGACGTTAAAATCGACCGTATTTAGTGACCTTGACTTTTGTATAAAAAATGCAAAAATGCAAGTGGGATCTTAGGTCAAAAATTGGGGTACAACAGATAACCATGGATAGAAAGGGTGCTAACACCTTCCCTTTCTATAATCTACCTCCCGAACCGAGAGCAATCTCTTTAAGGAATTTTTCTGTGCTTTTGTCCTTTCCATTTGGAGAAAATAAAAGACGGTGGCGACTCTTGCTTACCGCGACATTTCGCGAACCAGCGTTAAACAGTCAGTTCCAGATCCACCGATCACAATTAGTTCTTAAGTACTTGCTCAATTAAAACAAACTTTTTTCACACTTACACTCCTTTACAAACAAGTTTTTGAAAACACTTCATTACACTCTTGAAGAAAGAAGCAAGAGTTAAATCGAAGTTAAAACAAAAACTTTTCAAAACCCACAAACACAAAGAAAACAATTTTGAAAATGATGAGTAAGTACCTATGAGCCCGTAGATAACTACGGATAGAAAGGATGCTAATACCTCCCCCTTCTATAATCTACCCCCCCGTACTAAAAAATATCTCGAAAAAGGAATTTTTCTGTGCTTTTTTCCTTTCCTTGTTGGATAAAATAAAAGACGGTGGAGACTCTTGCTTACCGTGACATTTTGCGAAAACAAACGCAAACCAGCATTCCAAAAACAGCCAGTTCTTCCACCGTATCACACTGTGTAATAAAAGAAACAGGTACGAAGTCCTTCGCCGTCCAGTTGTTCAAGCCACCATTGGTTGTAGGGTAGATCCAACTGTCGATATTTGAATCTTCTTCACCATATTCAATTGCATTCAGTCCCTGATTACTGATGTGCAGAGGAGGTCTTCCAATCCACGCGCGCCGAACAGCCCTTTGAGCTTCTGCAGTAAAGCCCAAACCAAATTTGTCAGTTTTGTGTGCAAAGTCGGGGAGTTGACCCCAATTTTCACACCCACCTTTTTCAATTACAGCCCTGGCATCCTTGAGGGAAGCCATCTTTATCGGAGGTTTATCAACAGCAACTTTAGTTGACGCCAGAGTATGGGGAACCTCTTCAAAGTTCTGACACGGGGTTTCGATGAACTCTCCATCCATCTCCACATACCGAAAGGAACTGAGATGACTCACCATGTACTCCTCTTCTCCTCGCACCGTAACAATCTTCCCCTTTACCAGATATTTCAACATCTGATGGAGCATAGAAGTCACTGCCCCAGCCTTATGAATCCAAGGGCGACCCAGCAAGCAAGAATATGATGGTCGGATATCCATCACGTAAAAATTAGATGCAAAAGTCTGAGATCCAACTTTAACGGGGACGTCCACCTCCCCGTGTACCATCCTTTTTGACCCGTCGAAAGCCCTGACCATAATATTACTCGGCTTCAGAACCAAACCTTCACAGTCCAGATGATCTAATGATTTCTTTGGCAAAACATTCAAAGAGGACCCAGTATCCACTAGTACATGGGCCATGGTAGTTCCCCTGCACTCGATCGAGACGTGCAGAGCGTCATTATGATTTCTTCCTTTAGGAGTCAGATCTGTGTCTGAGAAACCCAACCCATTGCCGGAAGTCAAGCTAGCTACGCAATCTTTGAATTGATCGGCAGAAGTCTCCTGCGGCACATGCACAGTTTTGAGGAAAGCAATTAAAGCCTTTGCATGGGCTTCATAACATAATAACAAGGACAACATGGAGATTTTTGACGGGGTCTACCCCAGCTGCTCGACTATGTTGTAGTCACTTTTCTTGATAATCTTCAGAATTTCCTCTATCTCCTGCTTAGAGGTTTCTACAATAATCTTCTTAGGTGCCTCCATCTGGCCAGGCTCACCTGTGATCTCTTTGCCCCGAGTGTCAGATGGCTCGGTGACAGGGGTGATAATTGGAATAGGAACTGGGACAGTAGCTGATGTACTAGCAGATGGAATGACAACAGGTTTGTGAACAATCGGAGGGGAAATCTCGGGAGAGAAGAGTCTTCTGCTTCTAGTGACCTTGCTAGCCCCGGCAATATTGCTGCCATCAGCATCAGCTTCTTCAATCTTTAAGTCTTGCTTAACTCCATGGTAATACACATCGGCCTCATAGTGCCAAGGGACAACTTTATCCGAAGTGTATGGGATAGGACCAGGGACAATAATGATTAACGGAGCAATTCTCGGAACGGGTGTAATCCTAACAGGATATCTCGAGGAAGCCTCAGAAGGATTGGCGAAAATGGTTATGATGGCAACATCTTCAATTAGAACTAACGGAATCAAAGTCTTCTCGAACATGATCTCTTTGTTATCCATCAGGCGTTGAACACCTGATTTCAATAAATGGCAACCAGCAGGCAGAATTGAACACATGTGGCAACCTTCGCCACAGCCTGGAAATAAATCGGCCGACAATAGATTCTTCTTAACTGTCATCAAAGGAGTAGAAATTTCTTCCACGGAGGTCACAAATAAATCATCATCCACATCATTTACTCCATGAGCATGTTTGGGCATAGGAGAAGTCATGACGTTGGGCTTCTCTGGAGTGTCAAACTAAATTTCTTTAGCTTCGATCAAATCTTGCACCTTATTCTTAAAGCCCAACAGTTGTTTGTATCATGACTTGGGATATTGGAGTGATAGGAACAACGGGCGTTCGGATTATATAGCAGAGATATGGTGCTGGGATTTTTCGGGGCTTCCCTCAGAGTTACCAGGTTGGTATTCAATAATTATGGTAGAATTTGAGACAAGGTCATATTAAGCCAAGTGTACTATCTTTGAAGCCTCTCCATTCTTTGTTGATTGTTGTGTTGTGGGGAAACGGTGGGTCTTGATATTACTACCGCATTCACTGCTTGACGGTGTTTAAGTCTGCTTTGGCTCCTCGAGTCGTAGACTGCACTAGCTTCTTTCTTATCGGTGAAAGGTTTATTTACTGCACTTGACGATGTATCCTTTTGTATCTTACCACTTCAGATACCAGCTTCTACTCTCTCCCCAGTCAAAATTAATTCAGTAAACCCAGATGACGAACTTCCGATCAGATGATTGAAAAATGGACCAGACAACGTCCCTAGAAACATGTCAACCAACTCCCTGTCAGACAAAGGGGTTTGGACTCTTCCAGCCAGATCTATCCACTTTTGAGCATAGTCCTTAAAACCTTCACTTGCACCCATGGACATACCCTGAAGCTGAGTACGAGTGGGAGCAAGGTCGGCGTTATACTGATACTGCTTGTAAAAAGCAGCAACAAGGTCCTCCCAGTTTAGGACATTAGCTCCTTCCAATTGATAAAACCATTCAAGATGAATCCCTGACAGACTATCTTGAAAGAAGTGCACGCACAAATTTCTATCAGCAGTGTAAGGTTGGATTTTTCTGACGTACGAGCAGAGGTGGAGTTTTAGACAGGATGCTCCATCGTACTTGGCAAAACTGGAGCTTTAAACTTATGAGGGATCACCACCCCAGATGCTAGTCCCAGATCT